CACTCTATCTCACATACTTTGGGGGTATTGCCCGGAGGGATGAATCCTTGGAGAAGAATATCATGCTTAGAAGGGTGCAGGGACAGCATAAGAGAGGAAGACCCTGCATAAGATGGATTGACCAACTAACTGGGGTAATGGGGGTAGGTATGTCAGAGACAGTGAAATTGCCTCAAGATAGAGCAGGGTTCAGAGCTGTTGACCATAGGGTTGCTATGAGTCACATATGACTCGATGGCACATAACAACAACAATAAACAGCAAGAGACAAGTTCAGTATATATTTCCCAGGACTTTTTCTAGCTAACAATACACAACTCAACAAATGAATAATTTCATTGCTTTCACATCAAGTCCAACTCATAACAACCTTCCGTTAGGTTTTTGAGGCTGTAAATAGCATTTAGAGGAGAAACCCATCTTTCTCCGAGGAGCAGCTGGTGGATTCACACCACTTAGCCTTTAGTTAACAGTGCAGCTCACTTGAGGATACCCCACTAGAACTCCTTAACTAACACACGAAGAGTGAATGAAATGTTTAAATTTTTCGAACTTTAGATTTAAAAAATACCCATAGAAATATTCCCATTTGCTATCTTTTGTTATGATTTTGTCTTCAGTTCTTTTCCTTACAACCGTACGTCTCCCTTCTGCAGTTTCCTGACTGCTGTGTTGCATTGGAATTCATGATCCAGTAAATGAGGGCTGGGATCTTCACCATTGCAGTCACTGTGTCAGTCCATATCCTTGAGGGTTCTTCTCTCCTTTGCTGCATGATGTCCTTATCCAAAAGTACGTGAGATGAAACTTCACTATCCTTGCCTTCAAGGAGCAGCCTGACTGTACTTTTTCCAAGACATATTTGTGTGCCTTTTTGGCAGTTCATTGGCTAATTCAACACTTTTATCCAAATACCACAAAAGCATCAATTCTTCTGTCATCCTTATTCAGTGTCCAATTTTCAGATGCATAGCAGGTCTGTGATTTAAAAGCACTGATTCTTCCCCAATATTTATTTGTTGTTCAACTTTTACATGCATATAGAGTAACTCAAAATTGCTTGGGTCAGGCACCTTAGTTTTCAAAGTGACATTAAAACAGATATTTTAAAGAGATCTTTTGCAGAAAATTTCCCAACGCAGTATTTCATTTTATTTCTCTCCTTCTGTGGATGTCAAAGTAAAATGAAATCCTTTACAACTTTACTATTTCTGTTTATCATGATGTTACTTATTAGCCCAGTTATGGAGATTTTTGCTTTCTTAGCTCTGATGGTCTGTCTAGTGGCTAGGGAGTTGCACTGTCAACCCAAAATCAAGAGTTCCAAATCCACTAGCTGCTCTGAGAGAGATTGACGCTCTCTTCCTTTGTAAAATAGAGCCTCTGAAAAATCTCCAGAAGATCAACTATGCGTTGGTTACACTTCAGTGATGATGAGTTTGAAGATTTTTTAAAAAGTTTTATATTGAAGTATAATCCACACTGAAGGCTTCAAGTATGAAGGCTTCTGTGATCTTCATCAGTAAGTGCTCCAGATCTTCTTCACTTTTAGAGGAAAAGGTGGTATTTGCACATTACAGGTTTGTTAATGAGTTTCCTTCCAATCCTGGTGCTACATTCTTCATATAGTCCAACTTCTCTGATTATTTCATCATCATACAGTTTGAATAGATTTGGTAATGCACAGCTTTCCTGACTTAAAACCATACAGTACTTTATTGTTCTATTTAAACTTGTATACAAGTTCTGTATGAGCACAATCAAGAATTTTGGAATTCTCTGCATTGTTGTCCACAATTTGTTATGGCCCACAAAATTTAATCCCTTTGAATGACCATGAAAACACAAGTAAACATCTTTCTGGTCATCTGCTTCCCATCAAGATCTGTTTGATACCAGCAATGTATCTTTCATTCTTCATTCTCTTCTGACTGTGGCTTGAATTGCTGACAATTTTTTTTTTACAGAGGTTTTGGATTTCCATTCATTCATTGCCGCAATTTTCTCCCTTCCCACCCCTCCCCACCAGCTCGCTTCCCCCTCCGAAGAGAGAAAAAAGAAAAAAAATTCCTTCATTAGTATACAATTCCCACGTCCCTTCCCCCCATTCCCCACCCCAGTACACTTCTCTATGCAACCTTAATTCTGGATTCCTGTGCTAACCATAATACTCAATCATATATCACTTCCAATCTGTTCTTTCCCTCATCTGTTTCAATACAATATACATAATTATCCAGTTTTTTCTGTCATACCCCCATCCTGATGTCAGACCCATTCTACAACAGTGGCACCATGCAGTATTTGTCACTTTGTGACTGAGATATTTCACTCAGCTTAATGTCCTCCAGGGTTACCCACTTTGAATAGTATTGCATGAGTTCCTTGTTTTTCAATGCTGCTGTAGTATTCCATTGTGTGGATATACCACAGCTTCTCTATCCATTCGTTTGTTGATGGGCCCTTAGGCTGCTTCCAACTCTTTGCTATTGTAAACAAAACTGCAATAAACATGGGTGTGCATATATCTGTTTGGATGGCAGACAGAATTGCTGACAATTTTTTGCACATGTACAGCTCTCACTCTTTTTTGGATTATTTTTAGCAAATTTTAGTTGTGTGAGATGTTGTTGAATACTTTCTGCACTTTGTTGATTCACTTTTCTTTGGGATGGACACAAATACAGAGCTCTTCCAGTTGGTTGACCAGGTAACTATCTTCCAAACTCAAAGACGAGTGAGTACTTCCAACACTGCATCTGTTTGTCAAACATCTCAGTTCCCCGCCTCTCACTTCCACTAGTGCCTTCAATACATCTCGGATTTCTGTCTTCAATACTCTCAATTTTTTATCATATGCTACCTCCTGAAATGGTTGAATGTCAACCATTTCTCTTTGATACAATGTATCTTTATATGCCTTTCCTTCTCTTTGATACTTCCTTTGTTGCTCAGTATTTTGCTTATATAATCCCTCAGTATTGCTGGCTAACTTTTTTGAGGTGTGAGGGGAATGGACTACCAAGTGTTCTTAGTCTGTTTTTGCCTGGAAGTACTGCTGAGACTTGCTTACCATAGATGAGCCTGTGGGTATTTTAAATACCAGTGACATAGCTTCGGGCATCACAGCAAAATGAAAACCTTCATAAAATGACAAGCTGACAGATGAATGATGGACTTAATAGTGTGATTTAAAATATATGTGTAATTACATAGGCATTATAGACTCTGTTTAGGAAAAGAAATTGAAATCTCAAGACATGTTCTTGAAGGTCGAGGCCAGACAGAGCTGAATTGCAATGTGTAATCAAGTGAAACAAGTGGAAAGCAGGAGACATATAAAAAGAGACTTTTCTAGCAAGTTAGCTTAAAACCCTCCATGGACTTCTTGCAGTCAATTCTAGAATTCATTCAGGCTCCTTTTTGCTCACTTTGACATTCCATGCTCCACGTTCCCGTGGTTTCTCCATCCTGTTTTGTTTTACAACCCTTCTGTATTGTAAAGAATAATAGGACACATGTATCAAGAAAGTCTGAGGTGCCAGAACACATTGTCATCTCTCTTATGCCCTGCACAGGAGACGTGAATTCTACATGCTACCTTTTGATTCCACATAAAAACACACTTAGCAAAAGAAATATTTTAAAATTTTAATTTTTTAGTTTAAAATAAAGACCAGATAATTCTTTTTTTCCAAGAAAAAAAAAAGAAGAAATTTCCAGGTGCCAAGGACTATTGCTAGTGCTTCACTTAATCTTTACAAGAACCCACCCAATAAGTAGTTACTGTCATCACAGTCATTTCTACTTGAAAGATCCTTACCACAAGTAAAGATCAGGCTAAATTATTAGTGATTAGATAGCAGAGCTAAGATTTGAACCCAGTCTAGCTTTAGAGACTTAAGTTCTTAATCATTAACTACTGCTTTTATTTTCCTTCTGGGGTTTTAAATGTGCCAACCCATATTGAACCATCTCCTCAGACTTAGAGTTTGACTTCCTTGTGTCTTAACTCTGAAACACTGCTTCTCACATTGACTTATGGATCTGACCCACCCTGAAAGAAACCCCACCCTGGGCTTGATAGCTGTAGGGAGGTCAAGCAAAGTTCTTTTATATAGTCTTGTCCCTATTTTCATGTAGTTCCTCTTTCCAGAATGTTCTTTCTTTTCCCTCGCCTAATTTCTTTATGAAGACTTCCATTGTCCCTATAACAAGCTGTTCACTTCTTTCTCAGTATGTCTCTTGTTTGAATTTATATTTAATTTGTGTTGCCATTCCTGATAGGCATCTACCTCTGCCTCAGTTGTGAGCTACTCAAGGCAAAGATCAAATATTATTAATCTTTGAGTCTCCAGCACTGAGTTGGGAACATGGTAATAGGTAATAGGACTGAATAAATGAAGATGCTCAAAAAGAAACAGAACTCCTACCTGCTTGCCGCATGTGAACAATGTAATTGTGTTACAGTCTTTATGGGATGACATAAAAAGACAGAACTTTAAAAAAAAATCTTCTTAACCTCCAACCCTGAAATCTTCCAACATCTGCCAATTTTATATTATTATTTATTTATTTCACAAACCCTTTTCTATGCCCTTGATAATAGTTACTAGAGTCAAGAAGTCACACATTTCACATTATTATAATTCATTTTTTATTGAAATGAATTCTAGTAAAACATCACTACATGATTCAAAAGAATCACAAAAGAAGTTTCATTAAAAGACTATTTTAAGGACAGAAAGAAGAAAAGTAATTTTGTTTGGCATAAAGACTGACATGACTGTCATGGTTTGTATTTGCATATTCTTCAGAAGGACTAAAAGGACTCAAAGTAAATAAGGAATGGGAAAAAAATGAAACGAAAAGCAGAGGCTTAGCCCCAATGATTTCTTACTATGAAAGAAATATTATTTCTACTAAATTTCATTCTAGTGTTATTTCTGGTCAATTTCTTGCTCCTAAGGAACTGGCCACGTGGCAGATCTTAGAAACCTTCACATCAGCTCTTCAATTTCCTGGACTTGAGATGAGACTACCTCACCATTCACCATCTCTTGCACAATTGTCTTGATTTTTCGGCTTTTGCTTGGGTCTAAAATTTAAAAAAAAGTTTAAAAAGTTGATATTTCAAATATTAATTTATTATTATTGCGCAACTAAATTAGCATTGATTGGTAATCATTCATGGAGAGTTTTCCAAAGTTGATGTTACAGTTAAAAAAAGCTGAGCTTTATCTAGTAGGAATGAAGTGTATCCAGTGTTATCTTGTGCCCAAATGAAAATATTTTTCATTTAAAAAACTTCAAAATCTATTATGGTGCTCATAATACCTCTTTGTAGCTACCACTACTGCACCACCCATCTTGTCATAACTTTTAAGGTAGTACTACTCGTTTTGCTATAGGATGGCACAATTTTTTTTTTACTAGAATACTAATACACTTGAAATCATTAACACAGTACCGTTTTGTGAGATCTTGCAGTTTGAATCGTTCCTAAATGCAATTATGATTTATTCTAAGTGATTCTTAGGGAATCTGCATACCTTTGGAGGAATCAATTGACTGTGCTTGAGACCTGGACTCTGTCACAGATGAACTGGCATCTAGTATGCTGCTGTAAAGAAAGCGAGGGAGGATGGGGTCACACCAGGCTTTCTAGAACGAGGAGCAACAAGGAGCATGCTGAGTGAGCTGAGAATTAGAATGCTACTCAAAACTGTGGTCAAAACCGAAAGTTCTCAATGATTACTTTCAGAGTAATAATTTTTTTTTTAAAAAAAACATGCCTAAAACAGTGCAATTAATGGAAGATCTGTGCTGAGAAAACGAAGTTCTTGATTTATAGTCGAGAGTTCATCACACTAGTCCAGGGACATTTGCAATGGTCTGCCTGAGACCATTCAGATGGCTATTGTTTGAGGTTTCATTGTTAGTGTTGGATCATTAATGTTAGAAATAGAATGCATGATTTTATAGCCCATGGATTTTCCCATTTATAACATGCCTGTTTTTTGAGCCTTGGTTCACTCCAGCATTTTATAACTGCTCACTGAATTTTTTTAATCAACTAAGATGTAGGGATGAATAAATAGACTTTGGAAAAAACAGTGCATTTAAGAAATAAAATCATATCCTTATTAGATTTGTCATTTTTTTTTTGTCAATTAGAGAATCTCCCTCTTTCTTCTGTTGTTAAGAGCCATCTATTTGAGTATGACTCATGGTGACCCTATAAACAAGATCCGAACCCTTTCCTGATATCCTGTGCCTTCCTTCTCATCTCTGACACCCTTGATCCTATCCCACCGTGTCAGTCCATCTCTTTGAGGGTCTTCCTTTCTTTGACTGACCCTCAACTTTTCAAACACGAAATCCTTTTCCTGTATAACAACAACTGCCTTGAAGTTGAAGCTGTTGGTCGGGAGTGGAAGCTGTTTTCCACCTGTTACTGACTCACCCCCCGGCCTCCCCGTCCAGCAGGCGTTGGTAGGTCTCGATCTCCAGCTCCAGGCGGGCCTTGACATTCAGCAGCTGCTGGTACTCGCTGTTCTGGTGCTCGGTGTCCCCACGCACCTGCAGCAGCTGCTCCTCCAGGCACCCGATGAGCTGCTGCACCTGGGACAGCTGGCCACAGTAGTCGCCCTCGGTTTCGGCCAAGGAGTCCTCAAGCGATTTCTTCTGCAATGGGAGGGAAATGGCACCAAGTGAACTGTAGGTTAAGAGATTTTTGGATAGGGCATTGAAAGGATTCCGCGCCATCATACGCCATCCCTACCATGGCGAGCTGAGACTGGAGCTCTATCTCGAGGTTTTGGAACACGCGCTTCAGCTCGGTGACCTCGCTCTTGCTGGACTGCAGTTCCTCTTTGTTTGTGCTGATCTCCTTCCCGAGCTCCCCACTCTGCAACAGCAAAAAACAAAACAAAAAACAACAGAAACAGAAATGAGGAGGCAAAGTGAGTCCTCCAGCCCCAACCTATTGCAGCGAAGTCTCAGGGTTCGGGCTGTGTGACCTTTTCAAGGAACCAAGCTTCGACATCCTTCCGGTTCTGCTCGGCAATGGTCTCATACTGCGCTCGCATGTCGTTGAGGAGCCTGGTGAGGTCCACTCCAGGGGTGGCATCCATTTCTACGCTCACCTGGCCTGGGCCTCCCTCCCGGAAGTTTTGGAGCTCCTGGGGACACGGCAGGTGACACAGAAAGAAAGTCGTCATGAATTTTCGATACTTTTACCTTGTAGACCTTTCCTCCACAAGAAAAGATTATTTTACCACTGGATTGGGCTAAGAGAACAATATCAATTCCTTGTGTTAAACATTTCCTTTACCTAATCTCATCTCATTGTTGTGGACTCAGAACTGACTTGTGGCTGGCCTTCTAATGGACTTGCAGAGACATAAATCACACAAGAAGAGATTGCCTATCTTTCTCCCGAGGAACAACTAAAGGATTTGAACCACTAGCCTTTGAGTTGGTAGCACAACAACCTTTTGGTTTTAGAGGAACTTTAAATGGTCTTATTGGATCGCTGTAACTTTCAGGACCCAGGAACAGTGGGTCCTGGAGAAGCTGGCCCTGGAGAATGTCTGCAGAGTCCAAGAGCCTCATGTTTGGACAGCAGGGGTTTTGGAACCTAGAACTAGTATTTAGTTTGTAATAGGCATTCTTGCCATTGAAAGTCTTATACAAATCTCTGCAGAGCCATATTGAAATACCAGGTTGTGTAAAAAAAAAAAAATCAGGACAATTACATTTCTTTGTATCATTACCTAATGATTATAGTGCAAAATCTGAAAGTACCTCTAATCTGTTAAATCTAATGGGAACCACCATCACCACCACTACATATGGTAGGCATACACTCTCTCAGAGATTCAAAACAAGTTGCCAGTTTAAAAGGCTGAGAAGATATCCTCTATCTGTGCACTAACTTGAGATGTGAGAATTTGAAATTGCATTTTGGGGTCTAGGAGAAAAATATCAGTCTGGAGGGGCTGCTTTTTTCTGGCTGACCTCCTCATGGTTCTTCCTCATGTAGGCCAACTCTTCATTCAGGTTCTCCATCTGCATCTCCAGGTCAGATCTGGTCAGGGTCAGCTCGTCAAGCACTCTGCGCAGGCCGTTGATGTCAGCCTCCACGCTCATGCGCAAGGCCAGCTCGTTCTCATACCTGGAAACCAAACACAAGACAAGGGAATCAACACAACCAGTTTGAATAAGGTTCCTGCCATCTTTGGTGAGCTCTGGTGGCCTAGTGGTAAGGAGCTGAACTGCCTACTCCAGAGCATGGGGTTGAAATCTACCAGATGCTTGGCATGTTTCTGCTCAAAGATGAACAGTCTCCTCCTATGTGATTTGCTGTCTCTGAAAACCCACAGTGAGTCAACTATGAGTTGTTCTGACTCCACAGCATATAAACAACAAACTTGTCATCTTTGGAGACTATTCTATGCATACATTTAAATCCATTAAATATGTTTAAAAGTAGCAGCATTATAAGACTTTCCCCCCCTTTTAATACAGGCGTAACTTACCAAGTTTGTAAACATTGTTTTTCATACTGAATCATTACCATTTCCGTTACCCTCCTTTCCCTCCACACATCAAATTCTGAGACCCTATAATTAACCTTCCCCCCCGCCCTGCCCACCGTCACCCCTCTGCTCCCATTCTTCTCCCCTTGGATTCTCATACACATTCTACAATAATGATTTTATACAGTATTTGTCCTTATGGGACTGAGTTAGTTAACCTAGCTGTAATATTCTCTAGTTAGAGCCATTAAATATATTTAAAAGTAGCAGCATTGTAAGATTTCCTTTTACATTTTGTAACTTTTTAAAAAAAATGATAGTCTACTGTTCATTTGGTGAGAACAACCCCAACAACCCTCTATCCCAAAGGAGAAAGTTCTTCTCTGGAAACTGTAGCAACTTTATTTAGGTGGAGTTAAAAAGGGCATCCTAAAAGCAATAGAAAATAAAACGGTAATTGGTCTTTTTGCTTAGCTTTTAGGATTTAATTAAAAGTATTGATACTTTATTATCCTTTACTACAGCTGTACAGGTTCAGAGCAATTGCCACTGCAGTTTCCTTTGGAAATTTTGTGGAGCAAAAAGAAAATAAGTATTTCTTCCTTAGGCTAAGGAGGGTAGAATATTGAGGGAAAAGAAAGTAATAAAAAAACCCCAAACAAACAAACAAACCTGTGTGATTAATATTTTAGTTCTATGTGCCATCAGGAAAATGATGGTTTCATTTACCACCAGGCAAAAAGCATTATTAATTCATATTGATAAATGGAAGATTGAAATATAGAACACTGGTAGAATTGTCATGTCATATCATAAATCAGTAGAAATTACAAATGTGGTGATCCATGGTGCTAGGTTTAAGCAGCTTATAACATAAGGTTATATAATGTGATTGTGTTTGAATGTAATTACTTTCTAGAATGACCTCTGTGAATCATCAAGACACTAATTGTATAGAGCACGTAGACATTGGAAGGTTTGGAGAATTTCCCATCAATGAAGGCAGGAAATTTGGGAATAAGAAGACATGGTGCATCTGTTATTGCCAGCTTTTCTTTTCCTTTACTCACTTCATTCTGAAGTCATCGGCAGCCAGCCTCGCATTGTCAATCTGCAAGATGAGCTGGGCATTTCCAATGTTGGCAGAAATGATCTGGCAAAATAGGAGGAGACACTCAAAATGAAATCCCAAAATATTGGCATTATATACTATATGGATTTTTGACAGGGAGATTTTTTAGATACTTTTAAATGCTAAGACAGTTTCATTTTTTTTCTCTAAGAAAATGCATTTCTAAAATATTTTAAAATGAATAAGCATATTTGTCATAAAAATAGTGGCGAAAATACACTTTATGGTAAAGGATAGAATAGAATAAACTTTCTTAAAGCTGGCATCACTAAATACAATCAAATTTAAAAATGTCTCTGTTTTAGTTGATTGTCATGACAATAGTGTGATGATAAAAAGTATAGTTGCAAAGGAATTCCCAAAGCTCCTCCCAAACAATTGTTCTCTTACCTTATTCCTGAGGTCTTCAATCACTGTATAATATTTATTATAACCACTCCGTGACCCAGGATCTCCAGTCCCAGACCCTCGTGTTTCATACCATTCTCGAATTTTATTTTCTAGATCAGTATTAGCCTCTTCGAGGGCTCGGACTTTATCCAGATAGGAAGCCAATCTGTCATTAAGATTTTGCATGGTTTCCTTTTCCGATCCAGAAAAAAGGCCTCCATCATTGCCAGAGAGAAATGCTAAGGAGCCACCACCTGAGTTGCCCCCAAAGCCAGCGCCCAGGGATCCTCCATACCCAGCGCCCAGGGATCCTCCATACCCAGCGCCCAGGCCTGCTGCAAAGGAACTTACAGAACCACCACCAAAGCCAGGGCTAGAGCCAAACATGGATGCAGCAGAAAAGCCTCCCCCTCCGCTGCCTCCAAAGCTGAAGGCATTTGCCCCATAGATACTTCCAATGTTGGAAGTAGACATGCCCTTAGCTCTGCCTGCCGTCCCACTCTGGAAAGAGAGGCGCCGGGACAGCCCGCTTGTGCGCACTGACAGGGACATGGTGTGGCTGGGGAAATCCACAGCCCGTATAGCAAGAACCTGTGGTGAAGCAGCAGCCCGTCAGCAAGCAGAAAAGTCAACCTTTTATGGGCTACTGCAGTTGAGAAGTTCAGTCTCTCTGCTCAAAATATGGTGCCTCCCTCCTTTGTTTTGGCCAATTCAGCGAGTAAATGATTGATACACATTGAAAATTCATTGGTGTAGAAATAATTCAATAATTATGTCTATATTACATATTTATTATTTTTTAAGAAATAGAAAGTTGGGTGGAGTAGAGAGGCTGTCATAAAGAATTTTTCTCCAAATTACTCTTATTTCCCATATGCCCAGCACCTCTGAATGTTTTATGCATAGAAGGAAAGCACAGATTTCTTGTTATATGGGTAAATTAATGAATATTTCTTTCTGAACCATAGCTTTTAAAAGTTAGTGTTTTGTTGTGTCTTATTTTTCCACTCTCCTATTTGTTTCATTTAGAAAAAACCATCCATTCATGAGATATTGTCTCTTCTATTGGAATGCAGTTTCAGAAGCCAATTGACTGCAGGAGACCCATATTTATTCCCATTTTCAAGAATGTGGAAATTATCAAACAATATCGTCTGCAAGCCATATGGTTCTGGTGAGGATTAGGGTGGAATGTGTACTTGCATTGGATGTGAGTTGATTTTATTTGGCCTCCTATTTAAACAGGCTTTTGATTTTAATTGTTTTTGGTCAAACATTCTTCTAAGTGGTATAGCACTGGTCTGCCCATTTGCTGTACAGAGCTAAGTTGTGGTTGCTGTGATTTTAAACACTGTGACACTGATGTGTCAAATGTAATAATGGTTACCCAGGGTGGTCAGTGTTTGGTGGAGCTCCCTGATTAAAACCAGCTTGGAAGCAGAAATGGCATCCACTTCCGAAATAGCTTGCCTCTGGAAATTCTATGAACTTGGAGAAACTATCAAAGTTATACAAGTGTTCAGGTCTTTAGTTCATAGGGTTGCTATGAGTTGTCTACAACTCAACAGCATTTAACAAATTAACAACAACAAACAAAATACTGCTGAAGATTATTAAAAAAAAAAAAAGACTAGAAGAGTACATTGACAGAGAACTGCCAGAAATTTGAGTTGGATTTAGAAGAGGCCATGCAATGTGGCATATCATTGCTGATCTCAGGTAAATATTGGCTGAAAGCAGAGAATACCAGAAGGATATCTATGTTTTAATGATATACAAACATCATGATAAATGGAGAAAAGGTAGATATTGTCCACAATTTTATCTTATTTGGAATCACAATCACCACCCTTTGCACCAGCAGTCAAGAAATCAAAAGATGTATTGTATTCAGAAAATGCACTGTGAAGAATCTCTCCAATATTCTAAACAGCGAAATGTCACTTTAAAAACCTAAGGTGCACCTGATTCAAGCTATAATATTTCCAATTACTTGATAAATGAAAGCTGGACAGTAAATAAGAATGACAAGAGAACGGATGCATTTCAGTTTTGGTGTTTTGGAGACGAGTACTAAAAATCCTATGCACTGTCAAAAGAACAAGTATATCTTAAAGAAAGTGCAATCAGAGTGCTTTTTGAAGGCCAGGATGGATCAACTTCATCTTAAAAACTCTGGACATATTGTTTAGAGGAGCTTTTACTTGGAAAAGGACATCATTCTTGGAAAGGTGGAAGGTCAGCATAAGAAAAGACCATCAATAAGATGGATTAACACAGTGACTACAGCAATAGGTATGTCATTGAGTATGTCAGAAATTGTCAGGATAGTGCAAGATAAGGCAAGGTTCAGATCTGTTGTACATAGGGTTGCTATGAATCATAGTCAACTCATCAGTATCTACCACCACCACCACCACCACCAATCCATTACCAGTAGCCAGTTGCCATTCAGTTGGATTTGACTCATGGTGACCCCAGATGTATCAGAGTACAATGTGCTAGCTGGGGTTTTCAGTGATGATTTTTTTTAGATTTAGTGTGCCAGGACTTTCTTTCTAGGTGCTTCTGGGTGAACACTAACCTCCAGCCTTTGTGTCAGTAGCTTAGCATGTTTGACTTTTATACTACTCACGGATTTCATATGCACATTATGGTTACCCAGTAAAAGAATTTACACTACTCACGGATTTCATATGCACATTATGGTTACCCAGTAAAAGAATTTACATATAATGGTTGCTCAATAAATGTGTTGACAGAATGAAATAGATTGTATAAAAACTTCAGATTTCATTGTCATTATCCATATGGAGCACGAAACACATAATAGCAAATTAAAAGATTGCAAGGCTTGGGGAACTCTGGTGGCCTAGTGGCAAGAAGCTGCACTGCAATGCCAGAGGTGTGCCATTTGAATCTACCAGATTCTCTGCTGGAGAAGGAGGGACAATCTCCTTTTGTACCAGTCAGATCCAATTTGATGGTACATGCACAAAAAATTAAAAAAAAAAAAAGTTGCAAAGCTAGCTAAATCCACCCTCTGGCACAGACTGCCTGGAAGCAAACCAATAATCCATTCTAATCCTTCATAATATCTCCTCCTGGGGTCTGCTGCACAAATCCTCCCAGGACCACCCTGGTAAACATTACTTCACAGACCACATCTTCTATTGATTGCTGATGATGGTTAAATTTTGAAAATGTTGACAAGGCTAACACAAAATATCCCTACCAAAATCCAAATTGAGCTTACTGATCAATAGTAAGCTCACTCACCCTCCAGACCTGGAACTGAACTGAAACTGAGCTCATTTTTGGCTACCACCCAAAGGTGAGGGATTTTAATCTGCAGCCTTCACATCTGGTTTTAATTGTTTTTGGTCAAACATTCTTGTAAGTGGTATAGCACTATCCTGTCCATTTGCTGTACTGAGCTAAGGTGTGGTTGCTGTGATACTAACCACTGTGACACTGATGTGTCAAATGCGATAATGATTACCCATGGTGGACAGTGTTTTGTGGAGCTCCCTGATTAAACAAGCTTGGAAGCAGGAGTGGTATCTACTTCTGAAATAACGTGCCTCCAGAAAAATCTATGAACTTGAAACAATGAAAGTTATTCACATATTCAGGTCATCTATGACTTGATGACACTTAACAACAACAACATAAATGGAAACCCAATGGACTGTGTAAACTTTCGCTAAAAGTGTATATGAATTGTTGAATGGAAAACCAGTCTGCTCTGTAAACGTTGATCCAATTCATAAAAATAGTAAGGAAGGGGGAAAAAAGTTCACAAAGCTCCAAATCATCCAAACCACAGGCTCCATTTATAAGAAGAAAAGAGGACACAAGTAAAACTGAGGTTGAGTGCCATTGGGTTGGTCTGACTCAGAGCAACTCTGCATCTAGGCTTCTAAGTCTTGATGAGAAGAAACTGTCAATCTTTCTCCTGTTGGTAGATTTGAACCTCCAGAAGCTCAAAGCTTTTGGATTCGCAGTACAGCTTACCTCAGTCTACATCACCAGAGGAAAAAAAGAAAAAAAAAAAAGGTGACTTGATTTGGGTCCAAATTGGTAATTCTCAAACATGCTACTCACTTAAGCGTGTACATGTGTTTGGTTGAAGTGTTGGGGAGCTAAGTTTAAAACTATCAAACCTCTACAGTTTTTAGAAGTGAAATAACTTTCTTTGACAGCTGCCTAAAAATGTATGGGCAGGCAGGAATGTACAAACCAATAATCTTAACCTTGTCAGCAAAGTGATTACATAAGTTGAAAACAGGAAACAGAGAGAAAGAAACAGCACCTGGGTGAACTGCTCACATGGAGAGTTCCCCTCCCCCCATTTTTGTCAAGTTTAGAGAATATTCAAAATCGAGAAAATAACTTATGAAACATTTGTAAATTTAGATTTTTATTTCTTGTAAGAAATCGTTTGCCCATAGGTAGATGGACTGATTTCTGGGTTCTCAATTCTATTCCATTGATCTGTGTGTCTGCCATTGTACCAATACCACGCTGTCTTGACCACCACAGCAGTGTAGTAAGATTTGAAATCAGGAAGTGAGATCCCTCCTACCTTGTTTCTCTTTTTTAAGGAGTGCTTTGCTTATTCAGCACCATTCCAAATGAAATTGGAGAGTGCCTTTTCCATCCCGTTGAAGAATGGACTTGGTATTTGTATTGGGATTACATTGAATGTGAACTTTGCCTTTGATAGTATTGTCATTTTCACAGTGTTGAATCTTCCTATCCATGAACAAAGTAGATTCTCCCATTTCTCCAGGTCTTTTTTTGTATCTTGTAGTAATGTTTTGTAATTGTCTTTGAATAGATCCTTTGTGTTTCTGGTTAGATTTACTCCCATGGATTTAATCTTGTGATTAGCTATTGTGATGGGAATTATTTTTCTTAGCTCTAGTTCTGTATTCTCTGTCTCTGTGGAGAAATCCAAATGATTTTTGTATGTTGGTCTTGTATCCTGCCACTTTGCTGAATTGGTCAACTATGTCCAGTAGTTTTCTTGCTGAGTCTTTAGGGTTTTCTAACTATACTATCATATCATCTGCATATAGAGATCATTTTACCTCCTCTTTGCCCATTTGGATTCCTCTTATTTCCTTCTCTTGTCTTATTGCTATTGCAAAGACTTCCAATACAATATTGAATAGGAGAGGTGATAGTGGGCATCCTTGCCTAGTTCCTGTTCTCAAAGGAAATGCCTTTAATCTATCTACACTGAGAACAGTGTTGGCTCTTGGGTTTGCATATATACTTTTTATTATGTTGAGGAAGTTCCCCTTTAATCCTATTTTGTTGAGTGTTTTAATCAGGAAAGGGTGTTGGATTTTGTCAAAGGCCTTTTCTGCATCTAATTGATAGGATCATGTGGTTCTTGTTCTTTACCTTGTTAATGTGATGAATTACAGTGATTGTTTTTCTTATGTTGAACCATTCTTGTATACCTGTTATGAATCCCATTTGGTCATGGTGAATTATTTTTTTTATGTATCGTTGGATTCTCTTTGCCAGGATTTTGTTCAGAA